AGAGACAGAGACAGAGAGACAGAGAGCCTGAACAGTGGTTATCTAGCTATGAAAACTGGGTATCTAAAAGCTGTCCTTCACCTGACGATACATCAACTATGACTTGCTGCAAGCCTCTGACAATCTGTATCACCACATGACTTGTCCTGGGGTAAGAGAAGCCTGGATGTGGGACAGTTAGCTTCAGAATGAGAACAGAGCTGTCTAAGAAAACATCCAAAATCTATAGCCTGGAAATATTCATGACAAAAGGAATACACTAACCCTCTTCTGCCTTAAAAGCGTGCATACGGTCCTCATTCCTCTAGCTGTATATACATTAAAATATCTGTATTAGTTACTTTTTATTGCTGTGATAAAATATCACCAAAAGCAACTTATAGAAGAAAGAGTTTATTTGGACTTAAGGTTCCAGAGGAAGAGTTCATAATGGCTGGGGAAGCATGGCAACAGGCATCCAGAACAGGAAGCTGAGAGATCATATCTCCAACCACATGCAGAAAGCAGAGTGAACTAGAACTTGGGTGAGGCTATAAACACTAAAAGCCTGTCCCTGGTGATGAACTGCCTTCAGCAAGGCTCTGTCTTCTCAATGTCTCATAACTTCCCTAAACATCACCAACAACTTGGGCCACTGGGTGACCTTTCTCATTCAAAACTCCAAAATGCCCAATTAAACCCACATTTACTTAAAATCTGCTTCAATCTCTTTTGCAAAAATACTTTCTTGTAGTTGTGAAATAATCTGTAATTCCCACATTTGTATTTTTATCTCTTTCTGGTCTAATGCATGTATATGGAGAGATGTGGGATGCTACATTGGACCTCCTGACTCAGTGTGGTCTTCCATCTCCAGGATTAAGGTCAATTTACTGTTGAAGAAGTTGGGAAATGGCTTGGTGGAACCCTGCGGTTCTTTGTTTCAATTGTGCTGTCCCAGGTTACTCACTACAGCACCAGTGTTTACCGAAGGAGCTGGAGCCAAAGGCAACTAGAAATGGACCCGAAGTTAATGGAGGTATTGATAAAACTCTCAAACCAGTTTTGCCTACAGTTGCACTCCACAACAATTGAGATTACTAGATAAGAGCTATGTTGAAGGTACAGATTATGAGACCAGAGGGCAAACAGAAGAAGAGGGGTTCTCAGGACCAGCAGGGGCACTGTAGATCCAGCAATACTCCAGAGGACCTGTACAGCCAGTGCAGATGTGGAAGCAAGGGAGAGAGGGCTTTATGTCAACATCTGTGGGTTTCATTGATATTGTCATTGTCTTAAGAAATTTTGTGATACATGTTGCAATTGACATGTGAGATCTCTGTGCTTGAAATACAGGGAAGATTCCTTGTTAAAGACAATGCATTTATATTTTCTTGATTATTTTATTTTCGTATGAAGTTGCAATGAAGCACAAATATTAATGGTATATAACTTATACTTTGATTTTCGTTGCTGTGACAAAACATTACTCAAAATCAAGTTAAGAAGGAAAGGCTTTATTTCATTCTATAAGTTATAGTGAATCATCAAGAGAAGCCAGGAAGGGAGTTCAAGCAGGAAGCAGAACTGAAGCAGGGACCATGTAGGAAAGCTGCTTGCTCGTTTGCTTCCCCTACTTCTACTCAGCTACCTTTTAAAATCCAATAAATTAAAATCCAATAAATTTGTAAATTAAGGCTCCCTCTTCCCAGGTGTTTCTAGTTTCTGTCAAGTTGCCAAAAATTAGCCAGTATACTAACTGAAAAATGCTGTAAGTTATCAGAATTTAGGAGTATTTGAAATGCCCAGCTGTCTTCTTCTTCTTCTTCTTCTTCTTCTTCTTCTTCTTCTTCTTCTTCTTCTTCTTCTTCTTCTCCATCATCATCTTCATTATCATCTTTAAATCAATCTGTAATGTGTCTCTTTAAGTTCATCAAGAAACTCATTTAATACATATTGCCCCTAGGTAAGAAACCACAGAAATCGATAACCCTGAATTTGAAGGCTACAAAAAGGGACTTTTTGTGTAAAATATGGGACTTGGAACCCCAAGACACATGCTGGGGAAAAGTCTCAAGAGTATCCAGCTAACATTAAACATGTCCATAGGTACTATATTCACTGATATAGAGCAGTCCCCCATGTTCTATGCTGATACCTTTTAGAAGCAGGTTGGGATCCGTGCACCGGTGCACTACCATAGACTCATAATTTTTATCCATGAGTGTATTCAGTTGGCCCATAGACCATTCAAGCATAGCAAATACTAAGCAGCCTATCTGTAAGGACTTGATTATCAGCAAGAGGAGCTATGTCTCCATAAGTCTCTGGCATGTTGTAAAGGATGCACTTTTTAAAGCCTTTGACATTATCAAGTGCTTTTTTCTGACCCAAGTATCTTCTGACTCATCCCTCTCTAGGTGGATTAACTCTTGGTTTAAGAAGCACCCTATCTCATTAATAAGCAAATGACTCGAGTCTGTGGTGGTAAATATAGGGAAGTCTACATCTGACAGCATTACATGGCCATCCTCCTCCTCACAGCCCCTGAGTGCACAGGTCATCACCATGGGCTGGAGCTGGGTCATCTTCTTCCTGGTGTCAGCAGCCAGAGGTAAGGTGATCCCTGGTACCAGGAAGGGGTACCAGGACCCTTTGTACTAAGAAGGATCTAGACATTGAGATAAAATGGCACTCTATCTACATCCATTCACAGGTGTCTACTCTCAAGCTCAGCTGCAGCAGTCTGGAGCTGAGCTGAAGAGGCCTGGGGCTTCAGTGAAGGTGTCCTGCAAGGCTTCTGGTTACAGCTTCACAAGCTACTACATACAATGGGTGAAGCAGAAGCCTGGAAAGGGACTGGAGTGGATTGGACGGATTGATCCTGGAGATGGTGAAACAAAGTACGCTCAGAAATTCCAGGGCAAGGCCACATTGACGGCAGACACATCGTCCAACACAGCTTTCCTGGAGCTGAGCAGTCTGACAACCGAGGACTCAGCCGTATATTACTGTGCAAGGCACAGTGTGGTAACCCACATCCTTAGTATTTCAAAAACTCTGAATGAACAGGAAACTGCCCTGGATCTGAGATGTCAGAGAAGATTATCCTGAAGACTTGTTCAGGACTTGTTGAACGAATGAGGCTTCATGAATCTATTCTCACATCTCCCCCTACACATTGTTCATTGAGAAAAAACAACTTCTGCACTTTGTGTTCTGTGATGATTTATATTAATTTCACACTTGTTGGCGTCCAGAATCATCTAGGAAATGACCCTCTTGCCATGCCTATGAGTGACTATTTATATTAGATTTGCTTCTGGGTATTCCTATGAGGGAAATTCCAGATTAGCTTAATTGAATTAGGAAGGCCCAGCCTAAATATGGGCAGCACTGTTCTTGTGGGCTGGGCTTCTAGACTGAATGAAAGAAGACAGACTTAGAATAAGCATTCATCTTTCTGTGTTGTTAGAATGTGAATGCAACATGACTAGCTGTATTAATCTCCTGCCACTTACTTTGACTTCACCGCCATGATGAACAATATCTATGAACTGTGAGCAAAACAAATCCAGAGTGTGTGTCCCTGGACAGAACTCCTGTATTAAACCTAATCTACCCATGGCTAAGGGATCATTGCAGAAGAGGGGGTAAAAGATGGTAAGAGCCTGGGTTGGTGCGTGAACAAAAGGAAAGAGGATTTCTAGCCTCTGGAAACATGTTCATATGAACTTGCAGCAATGGTGACAGCATGCACAAGACCCATGCTGATTCAATCAGACAAAAACCTAACATAGACCTGGGGGAATGAGCAGCGGCCTCCAACCTCAGCTGAAGAGCTATTGGCTACTGATTGGTGCGAGGGGAGGGAGAGTAGATCTTCTTTGAGAATGTCTCTACATAGGCTGTCTAGACTCCAGTGGGTGAAGTTGCAGCAAGGGACGTTATTATATATTAAATGATTTATTATGTTAGGAGGCATTTTATTTAATTTGAAAGTTTTTTTCTTATTAAATGTTGTGAATTACATACACTATATTTTGATCATATTTCAACCCTATTCCCTTATATATATACCCCCTTCCCACCTCCACCTGATGTCTGATTTCATACACTCTATAACACACACACACACACACACACACACACACACACACAAGCATATCGAGTCAAACTTATGCTCCTACATACCCTTCAATGTGAGTCTATCCCCCAAAGCCTGGATAACCTACCCACATTTGCACCCTTAAAGAAGACCAAATCTCCCTCTGCCAGCAGTTCAAATAGTTGCCAATAGTTTCTCTGCCAGGGATGGGATTTCCTATCCACTTCCCCAGGTATTTCTGGTGATCTTCTCAGGCTTGAGCATGCATATATATGTGCCACATAAGACCAAGCCAGACTAAATATGTTTTGTATTATATGATCCATGCATTTAGGAAAATATGGTCAACCAGGGCATAGTATTATGTAAAATAAATTTTGTTCATGTATCATACATTATTTTTTATGTCAAAACAGACTTACACGTGATATGATTTCAAGAGAAGAGATATCCACCAGGACTCAAGGAAGAGTCAGTGGAACCTAAGCTCTGTCCATTCTTATCTGTCTGTTTAGAACTCCCAACATGCAAATATGATTCTAATCTCTAGGCAAAATTACAGTTTCAGCACATGGTAGCTTACAGTACTCTGTTTGTATATGACTGAGAGCCTGGGAAAGAGATATGTGTGTCTAGAACATGATACTGCTGGGTCTTCTATTGTGTTTGGTGATATCTCTGTAAGATCAGTGTGCCTGTTACAAATGGATCCGTGAGAACTTGTCACCAAGGAATCTGTCATGGGCCAATCTGCCTTGGCCCAAAGTAGAGTTTCACGTCGGTATCTGCCCTGGTGAAGGCCTCACATGCCCTGTCCTCACCTAATATGTCCCTTGGTCCTCCGTCATAGAATGATACCTACCGGAAATGAATTTTCTTAGCACCAGAAAGGAAGATACGTATCTGACAAAATGGAGTGATTTTGGAGTCACAGAACACAACTCATCCAACTCAGCCTAATCTCCACATACAGAAACACATCTAAGAACCAGTCTCCCATGAGGCGGACTAGATCACAACAAAGATAAGTCACTACTGTGATAGAAACTGGAAGGAAACATCAGTCTGAGGTACAGAAACCTCACTGCATTCTGCTCAGGGCCAGCAGGGGGCGCCCAGCACACAGCAGCTGGGGCTCAGTCCAGGAGCAGGTGCAGAGGTGGTTCAGAGCTTCCTGCCAGGGTCTGAATTTCCTCTCCAAGTAACTGTTTCTCTAAAGACTCTCTCTAGATTTCTGAGCCTGCTAACTGTTGTCCTGTCTGAATGCAAATCATTTCAGCCTGTGCATGCCTGTTTTGCTATTTAGAGAAGTCGTGGGCATTGTCTACCAAGGCAGGATTGGGACTTGTAAGAAAGAGAGTTGACTGCTATCTCATCAGTTCAGAACCTGAGGAATCCCAGGGGAATATGATGTGGTGGTTACTGTTAAATTGTTAACTTGATAGGATTTAGAGCTGCTGGAGAGGGAGTGGGGTGTTAAGACTCTGAGGGAAGATACACTGAAATTGATGGGTGTGCCATTCTCTAGTCAGGAAACCTTGGCCTGTGGAAAGTAGAGAATGTGACTTTAGCACAAGCATTCATTGATATCTTATTCCTGACACTGGATCCAACATCAGGTATCTTCAAACTTCCAGACATGCAGCTCTAGAGAGAAGACCAGTTACTGTATTTGAGACCTGCTCCAGAGATCTGTGGCTCCAGATCTGCTAGAAAAAGAGAGTCTGTTCTTTCTGCTACTCTAGAACTGTATTGTAAGGGACAGCTGGCATCCTGATTTCCCAGGGAGCTGTAGCTCTCTAACAATTTTCAGAGCTGAAAAGGCTCTTAGTTCACATCCACAGATAGTGAGAGTTCTGATTTGTTGTAAGTAAGTTCTTCATGGAAATGTGTTTTAAGTTTTTGTATACAGCCTAAATTTATTAATCCTAAACTGACAAATTCCTGTTTGTATTCTGTCTGTCCACTCCATTCCATGAGCCTGTCCATGTTGTCTGTCCAGTCCACTGACTGCTTCAGCATGATGGTCTGACTGTTTCCTGTACCAGGTAATAGAGACCTGGACTTTTCCACTCTCCATTGCACAGTCCCTTCCTGCAGTCCTCTGTATGTTGTGCAAGGTGTCAGTGCCAAGATGGAATTTCCTGTGTCAAACTCAAACAACAAAGACTAAAGTTAAAGGAAAGAGTACTTCATGATCTGCCTGTGAGAAGGACTATAACTGTAACTCCTGGAAAGAATTGTCTATAAGAAGCAGATGCAGGTAGTGAAGGGAATATACGCATCCCATGTATAATGCTTTGTGTTTTCATGATAATCTGGTCTGTGTTTTGGAAAGGGATTACTGGAACACAACCAGAGTACGTGTAGATTTTAATCAATTATCTCCAGGAATTCCTATGACAAAAAACAACTGAGCAGACCCAATCTCCTTTGTGGAGGAGCCTAGAGCTCTCAGGGGGATATGGGGGAAGTCTGAGTTCCAAATCCAGGACGTGGATGAGCCATATCCATAAGGGAAAATCTGCAGTGACCTTTTAGAAGCAGGGCTGCAGACAAGAACATCATTGTAGTGAACTGAATGCAGGATACCAGGAGTTGCTCACAGCTTAGCCAGTCAGGACCCTAAGAAGCAGATGCAGGTAGGAGCTAGCAAGGGGGCTGCTCTACTCCATCCAAAATCTCCAACTTTAAACAAAAGGAACCCTGAAAGACCATCACCAAGTCAATTGTAACCTTTTCCCAGATGGGCTCAAAGCAAAAATGACATGATATCTCGGCAAATCATTCCTGAATTTAAAACACTTTCTTGGGAATGCACCAGAAGCAGTATCTGCCACAAGCCACCCATTCATGTTGGTGACAGTTTGTCTTAGAGAAGAACAAATCAATGTGAGGAAAAATTAGCAGTCAGCACTCTGTTTCATGGAGCAAGGTTATTTCAGGAATACCAATCCGGAGATTTATATCCAGTCACTTTGGAACTGCCATAACTCAGGGGGATTGGAGAGAGATGGAAAGACATACAGAATTGCCCTAAAGTGAATGCTCCAGACTTAACATCATTTTATGATGTTCACAGGTGTGATCTCATCATAACTTTAAGGATGTTTTAAAAAATAATGACATCAGGTGAAAGAAACACATAGAGAACCCCCACAACCCCCCCCCACATGTAAAATGAGTGTTCCAAAGATGGGCGTGGACTTTAATTCCAGCACTCCAGAGGCAGAGGCAGGTGGATCTCTATGAGTTCAAGGCCACCCTGGTCTACATAGTGAGTTCCAGGCCAGCTGAGACTTCAGGGAGACCCTGTTTCAAACAAGAAAAGGAAAAGAAAAGAAAAAGAAAAAATGAAAAACCGAGCATCGAACAATTACTGAAATCTCAAAATCTGTACGAGAACACACAGAACTGAAAGGCAAACAGAGGCTGTGATGATGCATTTCACAGGAACTGCAGTTTCAAATCTACGTGAAAATTAGAATTCTCTGTTTGAAAACATATTTTACCTGAAATATTTAATGTGCTACAAAGATGAAATACACAGTATGGTAAATTTAAAATAATGTGGATATTTTAAAATATTGAAAAAAACCTAAAAAATGGACTATTTCACATAATTCATTTTAAAATATGTTGATAATTTCCCAGTCTTTTTCAAAGCATATGAGATTAATTCATGAAAATATCCCCAAATGTCCTGTTTGAAGGAGAGACCTTGTAAAGGATATGTACATTTTTTTTTTGTCTTTTTGAGACAGGGTTTCCCTATAGCCCCAGCTGTCCTGGAACTCACTATAGACCAGGCTGGCCTCAAACTCACGGAGATCCATCTGCTTCTGCCTCCCAAGAGCTAGGATTAAAGGCATGCACCACCACTCCTGGCATGTACATGTTTTAAATTGAAAGAAATGTATACATATATTTAAATATTAAAATATTGTGCGATTTACTATTACTATCACATTGTTCTGTAAAACATTTTGATTTTTCCTCAAAGGGC